AAAAGTTGCATTTCTTCCAAGTCTATGAGTTCTTTTATAAAAAGATAGACATAGTCTGTCAACAGAACAAAAAATACAAAGCGCCACACTCCTAGTGACCCTCACTGCCTCCATTCACATAGTCCTCATCATCAGTGTCAGGGGCCTCATAAGGCTGATAGTCAGAAAAATCATAGGCTGGGAACGCTACTGAGACCTTCTTTCTGAACTCATCATAGTCGTCAATGAAGGCACTAGCCTTGGCCCTCTCAGCAGCATTCCTCTGAGCCTCTGCCTTAGTAGCTCTCTTAATCGCTACATGGAGGTCAGCCTCAAGTCGATCAACCCTCTCGTGAGCCAGCCTCAACTCCTCAGCGACATCCTCTCGTGTCTGTCGGTCGAGTCTCAACTACTTCTCGGCATCCTCTTATGCCTGTCATGCAAGCTCTGCAGCATCGTCTCGTGCTTATCGTTCAAGCCTAAGCTACTCCTCAGCAGCCTCTCCGATCCTTAGGGTATTATCAAACAAGCAGGGCAATGCAGCTGCCACCTATAGACAGTAAAAAATAAAAGCATGAAGAGACTCATAACTAAGCCAAGATATAACAAAGAAAGCCGGATACGAAGTGGGAGTACAGGACATACCAAAGCAAAGCCCTCTCCGGTGGCATTGACCACGCCCTCCGGACCTCAAGAAGAACCCTCTTGGGCTTCGACAACGGACACAAAGTCACAAAGTCTCTCCTTTGCCAACCTCACATCCCGTAGCATGGATACTGAAGCATCACCCGAAGGGAAGTAACTGGGCGGATCTTCAGTCTCGATGGGATATGGCGACGGGCCCTCAGTCCTTGCAACGGTACTAGAATCATCTCGGGAAGGTGAGGAAATAACAGCCAAAGAGGGAGGAGGAGCATCTCCGAGCCCTGCCTCTACAAGACCAGCCTCTCTAGTAGGCCTTGGTGAAGAAGAACTGAGGCACTAGTCCTCGCCCTCTTCGAAGGAGGAGGAGGGGAAGTCACCACCCTGGAGGCACATATGGACTCCACCAACGACCTATCAATGGGGGGGACCTGTAGATCCAATGTAAGTTAAAAAGCCTACAACATTTTGTTTTCAATAAGACTGCTAAAGGAGTCAAGTACCTTTCTTCCTCGGCCTGGAAGGAGCCGTGGAAACACTAGATGCTGACATAATCTCTGAAAACTCCTTCGTTGGATTGTCATGAACCATTTGGAAAAACCTCTCCTGATCTCTGGATAAAGTTGGCGGAGCTGCAAAAAGACAATTGCATTGTGAGAACAAAAATGTGATGATTAAGACAGAAGTTAAAGGAAAAACCCTCACCTAGCTTGGTATTTGGGACTGTATCCCATTGATAGGGCACCAGGTCTCAATCGGACTCAGAAGCCCACTCATCTCTGACAAAAAAGAATTTCCTCTTCCATTTATGAAGGTTGGACGTGAGCCCGGTGATGAACTTGCCCGATCTTGGGGCGAAGCGATACCATCTTCGGTGGGGTGCGGGGTTATCAAGTAGCATATATGTAGCTAGAAACTCCTCGACTGGCGGAGGGACGGTAGCACTATGTACCAACCGCCACAATGTAAAAAATATAGAAATCACTCTCCAACAATTGGGAGCTAGTCTCCCTGGAACTAGTGACAAGCGCCCGAGAACCTGACATATAGGCCCAAGAATAGGGAATCGTAGACCTGCCTCCAGCATGCTCTCGTAAATGACGATCTCGTCCAAAGAGTCACATCATGCAGTCTCGTCGGCCTCAACACGACGACAATTCACGTAGGGTGGAATACGGTAAGAAAACACTATGGCAGCAATATCATCATCACCGTCAAATAAGATAAGTATAGGAGCTACCTTGGAACCGTCGCCTCCCCCAGCACCTAGACCTCCATCGGGGCCCCCAACAGGCTCCCTCTCGCTTGAATGAATACCAGCAAAAAACGAGTTCAGATCATTGCTAAAGAAAGTAACTACATCAACGGAAGAGTAAAAAGAATACTGGGAGACATACCTCGAGACCTCGTATCATCCAAGTCATTGATCGACCACTTCTTAGACTTGCGATGGGGGGACTACACCGCATCTACGGTACCTCCTGGGGAGCTTGGGGTCCCTCTTGATGTACTAACAAGGTTAAGTGAAGACTCCTTGCTCGTACCAAATCTCGGGCACTACCCCCGAAGTGCCTCTCGCCTCTCGTCGGGACCTCACGAAGACTGCCTGCTGCTGCTGCAACCACGCAATGGGCGCCGCCCAAACCTATTCCACCTGATCCCGTGAGCCTAGCTTCGCTCCTGGCAGCCCCTTGGGCGCCCCCTCCTCTTACCTCCTCTCCGTTACGACTCTTTGAATCCCTCGTATCCATGACCTTTGATTTGGGTAGTAAAGGGAGAAAACCAAAGCGGGAGAAATGGAAGTGAGAAGTGGAGAATGAGATGAACAGTAGCCTTGGGAGTCTTTAAATAGGAAGGGATGACTTCTTGAGGAAGCCTTGACAATGCTTCTTCAGGAAGCTTGGTAAGTTAGCTTCTTGGAGAAGCTCAATGAAGTAGTAGCTTCTTGGAGAAACTCAATGAAGTAGTAACCCTCTATTTATAGACGAAGATGCAAAAAAAAAAAAAAGCACTCAAGGAAGGAAAAAAAAAAAGGAAGGAGTCAGCGCCTAGTGAAGCCAAAGAAAAAAAAAAAGAGAAGGCAAAGGGCCAGCACCCAGGAAGACCAAGAAGAAAAAAGAAAAAAAAAAGAAAGAAAAGGGGAGAGAGTAATAGGCGGCGCCCAGGAAGACCAAGAAGAAAAAAAAGAAAAAGAAAGGGGGAGAGAGCAAGAGGCGAGGCCAGGAAGACTAAGAAGAAAAAAGAAAAAAAAAAGAAGGAGCAGTCAGTGCCTAGGAAGACCAAGAAAAAAAAAAGTGTGAAGCAAGAGGCTCCTAGGGTGGTCCATCCCAAAAAAAAAATAAATCTTTTTGATATCGGAAAGTTCAGCAAGTACCCGAGAATGAAAAGACACCGCAGGAAGCAAGAAAAATTTCAACTCATCCGGATGAAACGAAACACATACCCTAGACCCCTTCCTCTTGAAAAAAGTCAAAGGCTCGGGGCATGAGGGCAAATGATGACCCCGAATTTGACTAGACCCAATTAAAATAAACCACGAAGCCCAAGTACTCAGGACCCATGACAGAGCCCAAGAGAAGCTAGGCTGATCCGTTAGGAGGGAATCCAAGAAGGCATCAAGAGGTGAACGTCCAAGAGGCCAACACCCAAGATGCCAACGTCCAAGAGGCCAGCGCCCAAAAAATCAGCACCCAAAGCACCAAGAGCCAACACCCAAGCACTTGGGGTGCCGCCTAGGGGTCACCCAAGCCAGGCGCCGCCCAAGGCTTTCTCCTTGTCTTCATATGTCCTCTTGACTTCAATATAAGCCCAAGCCTACTCCGATCCAAGTTCAAGGTCAAGACCAAGCCCAATCTAGCTCAGGATCTTCCTTCGATTGAATAGGAGCACGAGCGACAGAATGTCGGGATAGAGATCTAAACTTACAATGATTGCACTTACCAAAATAGTGAAGGATCTCTTACTCACGTCACCACTTCACCGACTTACCCTAACTATATAATGTACGCCCTCTCAATATTGAGGGCATGCCTCTGAAACCTCTACACCTCTCCTTTTACACACTCCTCTCTCTCTCTCTAAGCATTGTAATACTCCTGGATAATACTCTCTCCAGCCATTTCACCCATTAATAAAAGACTCAGGCCACTGTTGCCGTTTACGAGAGTGGAGTAGGTCACCCAGATTAAACCACTCTAAATCCCTGTGTTACCTCTTTATCTACTGCTTTACCATTAATTGTATGTTTATTGCTCATTGATTGCCTCTGTTTATATTCTTGACTGTTGATCTCGCGTAATACTGATTGTGCATCATCATTATTAACTATTAATAACTACTGTTTGTTTTGCACAACGGATAATTAACACAAATAAACTTGTTGAAAGATAGGAAATCAATAAATTTAAATATAAAAAGATATAATGTAGTTTAATACAGCATATCTCCCAGTATACCGTACCTATATCCACGGACCAAAAATTTATATTGATGTGTTATTTACTAAAAAAATTGTTCATCTGATAATTGATTATCTAGTATCCAACCCTATTTATACAAATAAAATATTGTAACCCAACACAATTTAAATAGTTTCCTATCAGATCATTTATAAACATATCCATGATTTATTAACAAATTTTCAATACGTTTCATATTTCATTCAAGATTCTCACATTGTATTGTAACCCAACACAATATAGATCCTACTAAATCTTTATGTTTTCTATCAGGTCACTAATAAATATATCAATAGTTTATTAAGACTCTTTCAATATGTTTCATATTTTATTTAAAATTCTCACATTTATTACTTAACAAATTCATTCATGATAATTACAAAGTTTGAGTCAAACTGTAATACCCCTGCTCTTATTTTTATTTTTATACTTAATTGGGAATATCACGTGATAATTAATGTTATGGTATCGCTGTTACACCCCGTATTTAACTACTAAAGAGTATACGTATGGCCTGACAGCCTCTTAAGACCGCATCAACCGCGAAGTTCGTTACGTACAGTTGAGAACTTCCATCTCTTCTTCCCAACCCCTGTATCCCCTGTTACGCTCCTTCCAAAAACAATCAAATATCATCTCATTAACAATATCTATTACAAAAATTACCTGATGATCACTGTAATTAATATCCGATTTTAATTGGTTCTGTCAATCTCACGTGCTTTTTCATCACCAGATTAACCTCGTATGAGAAAAATAAACAATTCCCATTTCTTCTTGTCTTTGTTAACTCCTCCAAAACTATTGTGTTGAGAGTCCTTTTCACCTGTTATTGCACGATTTCTTTGGACAAGTCTTGGTTTTTTCAACGCTGTTTTCTTGGTATTGTTTCCTTTGAGCATTGAATTTGACAAAAAAAAAATGTCGAATCCCGATGACCCAAAATCCAAGGAAATCACAGAACCACCAAAGGTGGTTGCGCCACCATCTACTACAGCTGCCGTTGATGTGGAGAGCCAGACATCGGGAACGGGGTTCGGGGTATCCGCGATTATGAGGCGGTGGAGGAGAGAGGATTTCTTGAAGAGAGGATCATTGGCTTTGCGTGGTTTTGGTTTGCTTTTTTCATTGCTTGCTTTCATTATCATGGCAAGTAATCAACATGGTGATTGGAAGGACTTTGACAAATATGAAGAATACAGGTCAGTAGAAATTATTGTAAAATTGTGTGTTAATGGATGGGTGGGTAATGGGTTCATGTTTATATATTGAATATGGGCATTAAATTTTCGTATTAATTTCAGGTATGTCTTGGCTATTGCTATTCTGTCTACGTTGTATACGGGATTACAAGCTCTTAGGCAAGTTCATGAACTTTGGACTGGTGGACAAATGCTTTCGAGAATGAACTTGGCATTGCTGGACTTTTTTGGGGACCAGGTTGGTTTTTTCTGTTGATTGGTTGATTAAATTTCATAAGAATTGTGTTTGAATTTGTGAATTGTACACAAGATAGTGTGGATAATGGCTATGACTATTCATGGGTTTGGGGAGAAATCTCTCTGGGATTCGAAGTCTCGCTTGACTTCAATGGAGAGGAATTTTCTTTCTTGGAAAATTATGAGCATCAATGTCTGCTTGTACCTTGGTTAAAAACCAGGGATTTTTCTGAGTTTGTTTTTAAATTTTAATGAAATTCCTTGACATTTAAAAAGTTTATAGCTGTTTAGCTTTTCACAAAAACCTTTGTGAACATCAGGTTTCATGGGAGGTATGTTTCTGTGCCCTCTGAAACCACACCACCTGTTTATGCTTACTCCATTGTTCTCTAATGACACGAACACTTCACGTTTCTGCCAGTGACTGACAACTTGTGATGAATTATGGCTATTGCTCGTGTTTGTCTTACAGTTTTGCTTTTTAACTTCTTGTTTTTTGGGAAGTCCGTTGTCTTCCTTCTGATTTATGGTGGCCAAATTGGTTGAGAAAAATTGCTATTGAGTTTAAAAATTTCTGGATTAATTTGCAGATCATGGCATACTTTTTGGTATCGGCAGCATCATCTGCAGTTCCATTGACGAACAGGATGAGAGAGAATGTGGACAACATTTTTACCGACTCCTCTGCAGCAGCCATTAGCATGGAGTTCTTGGCATTCCTCTCACAGGCATTGTCAGCTCTCATCTCTGGATATAAGCTTTCTAACCAATCTTACATCTAAATAAGCTGACTTCGTTTTTTACTATTCTTCATGTTATTATTACTTCATTTGTCATTCCACCAGATACATTTTCATACACATGGATTTGTGTATAAGCACGTGCATTAGCAGATCTTCATTGTATAGAGACAGGGTATTTGTCACTCCAAGGGAAGTTTCTTTACATTGTGACATTTTTTCTCAGATAATGAAGGTTCATTATTGAATGAAATTATTGTATTTACCCTTACTTTTAACACTAAGAAGAGAGAGCATGATTTGCTAGGGCAACAAAAGGCACAAAAGCTTTTGATATTTAAACAGCCAAAGGAACATCTCAATGAACTTTTATTATCTGAAATATAGAAGAGGAATAAATTATGAAGATCCTATTGGAGCTAAAAATAAAGAGAAAAAGAAGTACCAACAGCAGAGGTCGGTTTAACATAAATTAACCAGAGAAAAAAAAAATACAAGACTGAACTTTGATTTACATTGCATATTCCTCCCAATTTATCTATCCTACTTTATTTTCCAATGTAAAAAACTAATGAGGCCGCTTGTTTAAGGTTCAATTTTGAAGGCCTCCAAAACAAATTAACAAATGGGACTACCTCTTACAGTGAGTCCTATCATTTACTAAGCCAAATGTCTGTGCAGTTATGCACCAGAGCAAAATAATGAGTTGATGAAATATCACTTTCTTATAGATTGCGCTCCCAAGCAATCGTGTTTTCTTTTTTCCAACCAATCTTAGTTTAGGAAAGACTCGAAAAATGAGTCATCCTTGGGCTCTTCCTTGGCTGCAGAGAAGGCATTATCTGTGTGTAGTGTTTGATTCATGTAGGAACCTGCTGAGTTTCCGAAACCTGAGAACCCAAAGCTCCCTGGACTCTGCAACATCTGTAGGGTATATGGTGCTTGACTTTGTGGTATTGGTAGCCTTGCATTGTGAAGGGAACTTGGGTAATTTGTTGCATGATTAGAAGGGACGGTCATGGCTGAGGGCTTGGGCCTAATGGTTGTAGGAGCATTGCTGTTGCCCAAATCGGACAAAGGCCTATTGACAGTGTAACTGCCACTGCCACGAGCTACCGGGACATCATGGTTGTGTTTTCCTTCATAAGTGGTTATGACAGCCCTCAGGTCATGGGATGCTCGCTCCACGTGCTTCCTCACTTGACATCCTATAAATGTACACTTGTAGTAGCTCCTGAAAATTACACCAAAAAACCTCTCATGTTAAAAACCAAGTTCACAAGAGCTTTAGGCAATAGTCCAAGGCTACTGTTTTTTTTTCCTTTCTTGAAGCTGCGTTCAAGAAATCTTCTAAAATTGCAATTTTACAAAGACTAGGTGTTTACCTTGGATTTGGATTGCCTTTTACAACTTTCTGTCCATACTTCCTCCATCTATAACCATCATCAAGGATATCAATATCACTTGTGGTCTGAACCACAATTCTAGGTTCTCGCACGGTTCTACTGCCCGAAGCTGATATAACCTCATTCTCATTCTCTCCCTTCCTGAAAAAGGAAAAAAGATTAATTTAGCACACTGGAATTACCATCACAAAGAACATAGAACATGGCATTCAAACAAATGGAAAGTTTTACACGTACCATCTTTTGGTTTCACGTTCATCTTCATTGGCATCCCCTGATTTGCTAATTGGAGAGCCTTGTTCGAAGTCATCCTCTCCAAATGAAGTTGATGAATTCTCTGGTGTTGTCACAGATTCTGGTTGTGCATTTCCAAAAGTTGTGTTCGATTGATTTGAAATTTCTGAGCCGGTACAGGCTGATGTTTGATATGAATGTGAGGATGTTCTTCTAGTAGACTGAGGCTTGGGATGGTTGTGGCTTCCCTTGTATACTATTTCAGTAATTTGTCCATCCAAAGTGCTCTCAACCTTTTTCTTTGTAAGACAGTTCTGATGTGTGCACTTGTAATAGCTTCGTGGATTCTCGCTTCCTTTAACTTGCTTTTGTCCATACTTTCTCCAATTGTACCCATCATCTGATCTTCTTTGCTCTCTAATAGATTGTGATGGTTGAGTATGGTTGATATGAATGGATTGAGGTGCAGCATTACCTTGCATGGTTGTTTGGGCTGTGATGTTTTCTGGGGAGAAACTCTGGATCCGTCCCAATTCTGATTTCACCCCATTTTTCTCCAAAGCGAATTCAGTTTGCTTATTTAGTTTGTGTGCATTCCATCCTTCTTGTGGTCTTCCTAATGATTCTTCCTGTTTGAGTGGAACATTCGAAAAATCAAAATTAAGAAACTAAAATAGAAACTTTTCATACTGGATAGAAAAAATCCAATGCTTTTGATCTGATTTTACTAGGATTTTCATTCTCTTATAAAATTTCCCACCAAATGCAGGATTTATCTTTACACCGGCGACCCGACAATGATTTTCAATAAACTATATGAAGTATTTACTTAATATGTCAAGCTGTGAACAAACCCTTGAGCATATATTATAGAATGCAGGCTCTTGATGTATAAAATTTCTCCCTGGAATATAAAAAACACCTCCAAGAAGTACAAAGTGTGGCTTCATGAAAGGGGTCAAAGTCAAAGTATTGACGACCAAAACCATGTAGGTTTGCAGCGAATGACTTTTTCGACATCCAAATGTACACACAAGCCTAATGCTTCGTTTGACATGATAAAAAATATAGAAAGATGAAAAATTAGAAGAATACAAAGTTAGATGAATAAATAAAACATTAAGTTTGGTAAGGAAAGAAAATAGGAAGAATGAAAAAAGTGGATGGATTTACTTTCCTTCCGACTCACAAAAATCATTCCCTCCAAAATCGAACGGAAAGTAGATAGAAAATTAATTATTTATATTGAGATGTATTGTATTTGTCTATATATTATGTATACATTAATTTCATATAAAAATAAAATGATAAAATATGTATTTATATATATATATATATATATATATATATATATATATTTTTTTTTAAAAAAATAAAAATTTTAAATTAAAAAAAATATTTTTTTAATCTTAATTAGGGGTGAAAATTTTCGACTTAACACGAACTTGATTATAACTCGACACGAATTTAAAAATTATCTGACACGCGAACAAAAAATATAAAAGATTCATAATTTTATGACTCAACATAAATTTGACACGACACGACTCGATTGTCACTCCCATCACTCCTAATATTAGACAAAATTTTTTTAAAAAAATTAGTTATTTTTATTTTTCATTCATCTAATCGAATACAAACTAAGGAAAGTGTATCATTCTTATTTTTCATCATTGAAAGATAGAAAGTATATCTTTCTTATTTTCCATCTTTCCTACCAAACAGAGCATAAGTAAAAGAGAGCGCCCCTGCCCCTGCCCCCAACTGCCCCCAAGGGGTGCTAGTTCCTTAATTATTAGCACAATTAGGTTAAACTGTCGATCGACAAAAAAATAAAAAATAGTACGTATAACAAGTCACAATATCACAGGTTTGTGCCGTGTTAAAAAATAATCACCATTGTAGGAAGTTAGGAACGGTTACAAAACATACCAAATAATTAATACAAATGAACAAACTAAAGCGAGACAAAAATGGTCCTAATTAATGAAGAAAACGGCATTAATTAATGGTCATATATGTTAGAACAGAAGCACATACATAATTGGTAAGAAAGCATTAAAACATACCGATGAAATTTTGTGTGCAGACGTTTGAAATATGGATGCTGATGTAGCAGGAGGAGGCCTTGTTTGGGATTGGAAAGAGAAATCAGAATAGTTTCTGTCATCCCCCTTGAAGAACAGACTAGCAAATGTCCCCGTACTTGGAGTTGGTACAACCTATATATGTTACATGCAAACATATCAAAATAGAGTCACAAACAAACCATAGTATGTATTCTATGTTGAAGAATATGAAGTAATCTTTGAAGAGTTAAAGACTTACATCAGATGAAAGAAAGGCAGGTGAGTCCAAGAGCATTGTTGGGCTTAAATTAGGTGGAAAAGAAAGGAAAGATGAGGGAGAAACAGGAGGAGGAGAGATGGGTAGAGAAGAAGGCGGAAGAGACTTGAACTTTGGAATTTCAATGCCACCTCGATCATTTATGCGGTCGGATAATCCCCAAGTAAATGAAGTTCTACCATGGTTAGGATTATTCATGTCTTCATTACTACCAAGAAGGTCACTGAAAGAAGAATTCGAGAACTGGGTGGTTGAGAAAGAGAAGCTGGGATGAGAATTGACAGAAGTGTTCAAGTTGCCACCTGAAGAAGCCATTTGTGATCAGAGAGAGAGAGAGAGAGAGATGAGCGTTGATGTGTCGGAGAGAAGATACTTAAAAGAAAAAGAGCAATGTTCATGGCTGATTTGCTTTGCCTTTTGCGTAAAGGTCTTCGAGCTTCTTCCACGAAGCTAAGAGCGAGTTTGACCGTGGAAAATTTTTTAGTCAAATTTTGTGGGTTTGACTGAGTCTTGGCTGCTGCATCAGAACGGTAAGATCAAAAATTTCCTGCAACATAAAAGAGCAACAACTATGAACGGATAAAAAAGACGGGTGGTAAATTTAAATATTTTAAATTTGAATTTTAATAATTTTTTAGAATTAATTAATAAAAAATTTATCTTTTATGAACATCCTAATTCTTGTGTCAATGATTTACTTTTGATCAAATTAAAAATATAATTAATTAAAATATACATAAATTAATTTAAACACTTTTAACCGTCAAAATAATAATAAGTCATTATGTTATGCCACGATATCTAGAAAAGTCTTATTGTCCAAGAAGTTCCTATTGGTTATGTATTGTATATAGCTGTGCCCGTATTTTATTTTTGTGAACTTTGTTAAGCTCTCAGTCCAACTAATTAAAACTCAATTTACACTTAATAACTCAATTGATCAGGTCAATCATGTAAGACAAGAGAAATGGTCATAGTGTTGGCCCACATTGTTAAAATGTTGATAGTCACTTCATTTAACATTAAAAAAAAATAAAGATTTAACAATGACATCTCATTAATTTTTATCACTAAGCATGCAAAGATCCCATTTTGTCCGAACCTTATTGTAATATGATAATGATGTCAAATTGACCTCTGCAGAGATTTCTTGCAGATGTCAAATTGATCAATTCTGACTTTTCAATTTGCCGGTCAGATGTTATAATCTGGATTCTAGAACATCACACAAACTGGAAATCAGTGCACTTCAAGGTTTTGGCAGCTTCTTCTCTTTGTATCTTTTATTGTCGCATAATTTTACTTTAGTTTACTTTTAGATAGTTCAAAAGTAATCTTTAAGGAAGAGATCGATGATTCTAAGTTCTTTTATTAACATAAAATATCTAAGGATGAGTTCGGTAACCCAGACCAGGTCATGCTATTGAGGTCGGGAGCTCAGCTCATCAATATTATTTACAGACCTCGACTTCAAACCTCAACTCCCCGTGTCCACATCTCGAAGAAAACTGTGCAAAGGACAGTTGGATCCCACCGAGTCCCCTTTTGTAGCATCAATCACCCAACAAGCGCAAGTCTCGTTACCCAATAAGAGCAATTGTTAGAAGGGAGGAGCAAAATCTCACCTCAGATCAAGGAAGGCCCAAAAATAACTATAAATAGGAGGCAAAGCCCTCGAAAGTAAAAGAACAAGCCATGGTAACCTTACAAAAACACTATCTATAAACTACACATATTAATTAATATATTCAGGGAGCAAGAGACTCCTTTGAGAGTAGATTAGCTGAGCTCTTGAGTTGGTGAACTACTATAAACACTCTGCGTGATCACCCACTTATCCCCAAATCCTATTCCCTAGAGTCTTGAAGCTTAGACTGAACTGAATCCAACTGTTTAGTACATTTTATATTCACGTCACTGTTCAATCATATTAAAAACATCATCAGCTGGCACTGTCTGTGGGAACGACCGCTCCTGTTAAAAATATACTTATTTTATTCAATAATTGATGGTTTTTACATGCAACATGAGCATAAATCAAATGAATCCTCCTCAATTACAGAACCAATAAGAAGCTACCACTGGAAGGCAGCAAGAAAATTCCCATGATTTCTTGCCTACACTTGAAATTGATCCCCCCATGGTGGATCCCACACCTAACAATGAACTAGAGGCTCTTCGTCTAGCCAATCAGCATCTCCTCCAATAGAATGAAGAGTTGTTGAATCTCCTTCAGCGTCCCCAAAGGGCACAGCTAGCCCAAGGCGATCCCCCTCAGAGGGAACAACAACACAACAATCCCCTAAAAGACATCACCGAGGGAGGTGAGCGCAGTCACACTATAGGCAATGCCCATCGTCAAATTCATAGGAATGAGGATAACGAGGAAATGCAAAATCAAAACAGGAAAACTCATAATAATGAATTTCCCCCGTTTGGACAGGAAGGGAAAGAACAATACCGATAACAACGCTTTAGAGACATCCAACATGAGCTCAGCTACTTGAAAGAGTCTGTTAAAGGCAAAACTCCAGTGACTATGGATACCTTAGTTTAGCAGACCGAGTCCCCGTTTACCACACAAGTGCTGCACTTTCCACTCCCACCTAAATGCAAAATGCCTCAAATAGAGGCCTTCGATGGAACAAAAGACTCCATAGACCACCACAACATCTACAAGAACCAAATAGAGCTACATATATACCAGGACCCAGCACGATGCCGAGTCTTCATCATCACTTTAAAAGGTTCAACCCTAGCATGGTTTAACTGGCTGACCCCGACATCCATCTCATTCTTTAGAGAGCTCTCCGTCTCCTTTGTATTGCACTTCATAGGAGCTCAGACTTATCGAAAATCAAGTTATCACCTATTGAACATGAAATAGAGACCCAACGAGAGCCTACAGAGCTATGTTCAAAAGTTCAACTCAGAATCTCAAAAAGTGGATGTCCCTGATGAGAAATTCATCATCACTGCTAGGGGTGTTCAAATTTTTGAATGACCATAATTTCCAACCCTACCCTACCTTACTAAACGGATAGCCACAAAAATCGAGTAGGAATGCCAAAGAGTTTTTAGTCTTCCAATTAAATAGGGTAGGAATGCAGACTAGCCATCCATTTTCTCATTCTTACCCTATCTTACCCGCATTAATTTATACAAAAATCCTAATCTACTGACTACTGAGTCCTGAGAGCACCTGTGCCTCACACCTCACTCCACTGCTCCTCATTCATCGTTTCAGACTTTCAGTCTCGATTCCCACCCAGGTACTCTCTCTCTCTCTCTCTCTGCGCGATCTAGTGTGGTCTGACTTGGAAGGTCTGATTGTAGATCTATGTGCGATCTAGTCATGATTTGCAGATTAATGCGCGATCTGATCGCGTCTGATCTGAGTTGCAAATCCTATGTTGCAGATCCATGAGTTTTTATCCTATGTAGAAAACCTCCTATGTTGCAGATTCGATCACCTCCTCTTGAACTCCCACACTTCTCCAAGATTCAAATGGATGAACACATTCCTCTACAATACTCTCATCAGAGCCTACCTCAACTTTGGCCTACCACACAGAACCATACTCCTCTTCACACATATGCTTGCTCATCAAGCACCACCCAACAGCCACACCGTCCCTTCCCTCATCAACGCAGCCTCTTCTTCACCTTCTTTGGCTTCACATATAGGTAAACCCCTCCATACCCATGTCATCAAACGGGGTGTATCAAACGACCCATTTGTACAAACGTGCTTTGTTGTCTTGTATGCTAGACAGATTGACCTTAAACATGCACATATTGTGTTTGATGAAATATCTGAACCATGTATTGTATCTAATAACGTGATGCTCGATGCATTTGGAAAAAATGGGAACATGGGTTCTCCTTTTTTGCTCTTTGAATGTATGCGTTTTGGGAAAAATGGGGACATGGGTTTTGCCGTTCTAGCTGCTTGTGCTCGTGCCAAACTCCTAGAGTTTATTTGTTCATGGTGACCAAGATTTTTTATTAGCTATGCAAGCCTTTATTCTAATATTTATTTCTTGGTTCAACTTATTTTGATTTCTTGGTTCAATATACAGTTCCAACATATCATTTCTTGGTTCAATTTATAGTTCCAACATATCAGTTCAATTTATTATGATTTCTTGGTTCAATTTACAGTTCCAACATATTTTTTCTTGGTTCAATTTACAGTTCTAACATATCAGTCCAAAAATTAATAGTTACAAAAATGTTTACCTGACTTCCTACTCGATTAATCGGGTAGGAAGTCGGGTAGGGTAGGCCAAAAAATTTTTTTTTACAAAGTATCGGGTAGGAAAACAGAATAACATATTTCTTACCCATAGGGTAGGGTGAACACCCCTAATCACTAGCTTCATTGCTGGGTTGAGAATCCAATCAAAGGACTTGATGTTCTGCATTGCCAAGGTAGAAAAGTACATCAACGGTGAGGAAGCATTCCTTTCCAAGGTAGGGAGCTCATCCACACACAAGGAGAAGGAGAAGAAGAGAGACCTAAGTCCCAGAAAGGAGAGAAGTCAAGACAGATCTCCACGAAGAGATAGGGACCGCTCTCCAAAAGGAGAGGAGACGTCAGAGACCGCCTTGGTCCACCACCATAGGAATTGTTGCCAAGGTTTTCACCTCGGCAATTCACTCCCCTCACAGCCACAGTGTCTTAGGTCTTTTATGAGTTACATAATGAAAATTTTCTGAGGTGGCCACCTTGAATGAAGACAGATCCTACAAAAAGGGATGCAATGAAATATTGCAAGTACCGCTGGGACCATGACCATCTCACTGATGACTGTATCTAATTGAAGAAGGAGACAGAGTTCCTGATTCAACGATGACAACTGATCCACTTTATGGCACAAGATAATCAGAAACGAGCTCACCCACCTCTAGCACCTCAGCAACAAGTCTCTGTGCAACATCAACAACCTCTAGGAGAGGTTATCGTGATATCCGAAGGATTCGCTGGAGGTGGGGAATCTAGCTTAGTCAGGAAAGCTCACATGCACGAAGTCAGAACTGAGGAGGTGCTGGAAATACAAGTTGTGTCCAAGGCACCTCGGCTGAGCGTGGACATCACTTTCTCGGATGCGAACTTGGAGAGTTGCCAGCATCCCCACGATGACCCTTTCGTGGTAAGGTCCATCATCGCTAACAAAACCATCCATCGAGTCCTAATTAATAATGGGAGCTCTGCCGACATCATCTTCGTATCTGCCTTCGACAAGATGGATATAGCCAGACAAACTTGAGCTAGTATGGGCTCACCTCCTGATTTTCTTAGGGAAAAGGGTTCTGCCCCTTGGTTCAATCCAACTTGTGCTCACCATAAGAGATCCTCT